AAAATGGAGCAAACTCATTCAGCACCAGCAAACCAAAGGTCAGGTGAAGAGAGTAGACTATAAATCCCATTCCTCTCTGTAGGGAAATGGAAAGATTAGCAGTCAAATTAAATATGCATTAATATTCTGCCCCCCAAGCTGAAATTACATCTTACCGATTGTAGCACGGCAGGGTCTGTGAAGGGCACTTCAAGTGTAAAGACTTTCAAGCTGCTGTTAGGGGACACATGCTCTCTGATGTTAAAGCCTCTGGCATGGCACTGTGCTATAGTCAAAACCTCAGAGGGGAAGGTGATGTTCATCAGCGCCACGTCAGGAGCAAAATGCCCAAGCACTAGCTTAAACACTTGCTGTTTCGGAACAGTCTCTGTAGGGACGAGAGAAGAGGAATTCAGTGAGCTTGCACTTTACACAAATAATCATAATATATGATAAGTGGAATGGAGAGACTCGCCGTCAAAAACTTGAAGATTCAGTGACAACAAAGGCGTCGTGATGGGAAACAAGACTTTGTATCTTGTGTCTTCTCCATCTTCAGTCCAGAGCAACTCCAGCATGGGTTCGATTGTATAGGAGAGGAGATACCGATTTCCCTGGATATGGCTCTGTTTATCATTTTAAAACCAAGAATTTGTCATTATAACTACTCCTAATGGAACATATTTAAAAGCAGAACAAAAGCTGTAATAATTCTTTATAAGATTCCTGCTTTAATGCTTGTAGAGCAACTCTTTTGGAGGCTCAGCTTTGGAAATGGGCCCTCATTTCACAGTGAGAAGTGGCTTTTACTACTTTGCCATCTTAAAAGGCCAAGGAAGCCATTTATCAGTATATACTTGATGCAAATCTTGATTTCTTATAAAAACAACTGCCTTTCACCTTAAAGTATCCACCGTCGGCCCCAACAGGAAGCTGAACAATGATGTACGAGTCGTCGGTAGACAGCTTAGCCGGCATCTGAGTAGGATCAAGCGTCTGACCGTTGATTCCTAAGTACACCTCCAAGAGCTGAACCCGCCCAGAGGACATTAAGGGGTCAATGCGTTGGGGCAGGCGCCAAGTGATCATGGTGGGCGTGAAGGAAACACTATGACCTGCACATAAGGCATAATATGAGGCCAAAACAGACACTACTATAGAGGATTTAGAGGCTACAAGGTCTGCTGGCAGACAACTTTGCTAACAGCTTAGCATTTCTAAACCACACATGCATACAAGTCTTCATATTAAACCTGGGACAGACAGCAAGTTAATATTTCTAAACGTCCAAATGCATCACCACCCTAGGAATAATGAAGACTAGAAAAAACAAGTTTGCAGATTTAACTGCTAAAGCCTTCAGGTTTTAAACACAAGATGACACAGGCTCCCTGCAGCTTCCACATGGTTAGAGTTTAATTACCGTCCAGCACTGGACAAGCAGCTACAGCATCAACTCGAGCAGTCAGCCACTGCTTCTCAAAGATAGTCGAGGTTTTGAACACCTTCATGGGCACCCCTGCTACCTGCAGGGTGAGATAACATTTAATACATTGAAGATAAAGCATGTGTGCAAAAGAGCAGTTCGTTAGAACATGGAAATGTAGGCTAATGGGCCATATGTACTTTATCTTGTCAAATGTCAGACCGTAACAAGTTTAAAAAGGTAGTCTGATCATATAATGAATCTAAATCCAATTGGTTACTGACTGCAAGTGTGAGCCATCTAATGGGCTACAAGTACTTTAACCAGAGTCTGTCTGTAGAACAAGATGCCAGGTTATGTCAGGCATGTGTGAAAAGCATGCGATCTGCAGTTTACTCACAGTCTGGGTGTACGTTGCCAGTGCAGACTTTGAACTCCGGAGAATCACCCTGGTGGGAGTGTTTCCTACCCCGTACCCCCTTTGGTGGGCCTCAGTCGCCTTCATGATCCTCTCCTCAGGTGTGAAGAACACAACTGTTGTGATTATGTATCCTGCGTCTATGGGGCGTTTCTGTAAGGCAAACACCAAATCGTGACTTTACATGCAGAGATGGGGTCTGAGAATAGACTAGAGGCCAAACGAGCTCCTCCAACCTTTGCGGCTTGTCGAGTAGAAGCAAACTCTGGACTGCCCTGTTGCTCTGAATATGCAGGAAGGCCATAATCATCTGCAGCTGCCCTCTTCACGGACACCTAGAAACAAGACCCTTCGAGTCAATGATAAACCATCTCTCACCTCTCTAGGAACTGTTTTAGCCTTGATGCTCTTATGGGCTATAGCACCACTGTCATATAGATGGGAACATGACCACAGAAGGTTTTGCTGCAGTCACTTGCCTCCATATAGCTGTGGTCACAGACGATTTCCCTGAAGGCCCAGGGAGTGTAGCGGCAAGTTTTAACCACCTGGTACACCTTGTCTTCAAACAACTGGTTTCCATGCAGTCGAACATGCAAAGCAGTGGTGAATTCTTTATCGTCCTACAAAAAAATAAATATTTTTTAAAAAAAGAAAAAGTTAATACTAGAAGCATAGGACACATTGGGTGCTTTGAAAAAAAGAAAACAAAAAAAACCAAACAAACAAACAACCTCTAATAATTCTGTCTTTATCTTTGTTACGTTACCACATTGTGAGCAAAACAGTTTTGAAGAGAGGCATAAATCAAGGCGTTTCCCAGCAGATCAATCTTCACACTGATGCCACACTGCGAGGCTAAACTTGGCGTAAGAGGAATTGCAGTGTTATCTGAGGAGAGGATAAGGAACACATAAAATAAAAAAAAATAAAAAAAAATAAAAAAAGTGGGAAAAATTAAGCTTTAAGAGGCAAGAAGCCAAAGAATTTTTTTTTTTTTTTTTTTTTTTTTTAAAAAAGCTTACTCATGACGGCAGTAATTTTCATAAGATTTCCTCCAAGTGGACCAACATCCACACGCATCACATTCCCCAGACACTGAGCGGTGATATCTGGAAATAAACATTGACGTGAGTAAGTAGGCAGTAGTTTGATTAAGTGACATTTTTAGGAAAAATAAATAAAACTTACTTAAAGGGGGCCTCTTTTGAGCCTGTGTGTTCATAACAACTACCAAAAGAATGAACCACCTGAAAAAAACTTAGTCAGTTAAAGACAAAAATCTGAAAGTTTGACTAAAAAGGTTCTTAGAAAAATAAAGCTACAAACCCCAATCCTAATGAGTGACCCATGGCACAAGAGGTGGGGAAGTGGTAATCTTAGCGTCTCTGTTTTTGCCGTTTTTAAAGAAGTTTGTAGGGGACCTAAAGGCACCTCTTTGGGTAAGATGAGGGAGGTTGCAGCCACACACAGGTGGATCTCGTTGGAGCCTGATGAGGTTGATTGGGTGGAAGTGAGTTTTAACCAGAGCTGCAAAAATGCTGACGGCACTTGTACTGGAATTAAATTCAAATATGCTTGTCCAACCAAATGAACTGTTGTAAAGTAAATAATTAATAAAATGAAGCATGTGTGTTTGTTTTGTTTTCTTATATACTGAGAATTCATCCAAACTCTGAACAGCATTTAAAAATTAAAAGTTATAGTACAAAACCAAAGCAGAAATGAATTTTAAAAAGGCAGCAGTGTTTTGTACTATTGCTAATAATTGCTGGTTTTACGTTCTTCAGTTGAGGGAGCAAGTCTATGTGAATAAAGTAAAATAAAAATGAAGGTGTGAGATTTTTCATACAATCTTCCAATAACCTGCCGAAGTTGAAATGAGTGGTGCAAATTCAAAAATGTCACAAATTCATTTTGACTTTTTCTAAAACCAATTAGAAAAAGTCTAAATGAAGTTGGGGTCTTGAGAGGTGCCACTGAGGTCAGAAGATTGTCCTTGTGCAGGTTGTGAGTTCATGATGGTTGCGCCACAGAAGAGCAGAATAACTATAAACTTCTGTAGCCCTGAACTGTTGTAAACAAATTTATTCAGAAAGCATGGATATTAAAATGGCAAATTGAGTTTTTAAGTCCTAAAGAGCAGGAAGCACTCAGGAAATCCCCTGTGCTTTTAGGAAGTGAAGAAATTGATTTTATGGTTATGATTTCACTGCTAAAAATCAAAAATTAAAACAAACAAAGATACTTCAGACAAATTATCATCAAATGCACCATAAAATATTATTATAGTTAATTTAGAAAGCATGAAGTAATTTCATATTTCTGTATTATTTAGGTTTTCATCAATCCCCCTATTTATTGTTTAGTTCATTTTATTTTATTATTTATTTTCCTCCACTAAAACATTATTAATTAAATTTAAAAAAAAATACCTTAAGTAAATACTTATACAATCCAGCAATAAAAGCAAACAAAATAAATTATATCAGTTTTTTTTAATGCCTGCATTAATTTATTTTAATTTTTTTTTTTTTTATAGCATATGCATTTATTGTGTCAAATTTTTTGTGCTTCTTAACCTTGGCCGTTTTGGTCTTCCGTATCGCACACAGAAGTTGTGGGAGATGCTGAGGTTTCTTTCTTTGAGGGGATAAAAAACACGGAGTTTGGTAAGTTATAAAACCTGATTTATAAACGTTGAACAGCAGCTGTTTGATGAGTAGCGTTTTAGAGTCTGGTTTGGCAGTTCGCCTCCCGGCAGCGCTTTCTCAAAGTGGATTCAAATGTCATTTATTAGTTACTTCGCTCTCTGCAGCCAGTGCGCTGTCTCCGCGTTGGTTCAACTGCAGCTGTTTCACTCAAATACAGAACAAGTGGGGTTTGTAAGGGACATTGAGCACATCTGAAGTGACATTTAAAGAGTGAGTAAGTGATAGCCCAGGACAGAAACATAATAATTTTGGAGGCTCTTTTAAAATAAAGCGACTAGGTTACATACGTTATAAATTTCTCAAGAGGTGTTCCCAGTCTCTCGCTGCCCTCTCCTCTCCTCCCTCGCCCCTCCCTGTTCCCTAGAAAAGGGAACAAACTGCCTCCGTGCTTCTGTCCCGCCTCCAGCTCTTCTTGTCCCGTCCGGGGAGCAGCGGCGCCTCACTCCCTCGCTGACCTGCTCTGTGCGGCATTTCAGGAGAAGATGAAAAGCAAAACGGCAGGATAAAAGTTCTTTTTCATGGAAAGAAACGCTCCGAATACAGGTATGTTTTTCTACCTTTGCATTAAGACCCTATAATTAACAGACTTATCAGGTCCTTATTAACCAATTTAAAAAAACAAAAAACTTTAATTTGAAAAACTCAGCTTCGCTTAAGTGTCTAGAATTCAACTGTTTAAAAATATCTACACAAAAATGTAGACGAGGGCTGGAAATCAGTTTGTAAAATGATATTTTTCTAGTGGTAATCCTGTACATGTGACAGCACCTCATGCCTCTCTGCTCTCTCAGTATAAGCCATTTCCTGTGTGTGCTGTATTGATCCCCCTCCCTCCTTCCGAAGACTAATGTATTCTACAAACAGTGCAGTCAAATGTGTCTTGATAGAAACCATCCATTTAAACGTTACAGTTAGTCTTCACTGGGGAATCCTTGTGGGCATTTTAGTTGTCATAAAAAAAAGACACAAAAAGTCTGCTAGAATGAACTGACTTCACTGTAAATGTCTTTTCAGGATCATGGGGTATGGGCAAATCCTCCACCGGCGAGGGGATGAGGAGGACCAGGTCCACCTCAATGTGGGAGGGGTACGGCATGAACTGGATCCTGATATGGTGCTCCGCTTTCCTCACACGCGTTTGGCTCGTCTGCTGTGCTGCCAGAGCGAGGCGGCAATCCTGGAGCTGTGTGACGACTACAGCCCGGCTGAGAAGGAGTACTACTTTGACAGGAATCCTCGGGTTTTCCTGTGCGTGCTTAACTTTTACCACACGGGACAAATCCACATGATGGAGGAGTTGTGCGTTTTTTCTTTCTGTCAAGAGATTGAGTACTGGGGTATCAAGGAGCTCCACCTCAGCCCCTGCTGCAGCAACTGGTACCACGAGAGGAAGGAGTACATCGAGGACAGAGACTGGGACATCAGGAGCGAAGACCAGCAGGAGCCGAGCTTCGACTCCTCGTTTGAGGAGCTCTCTGCTCTCGATAAAGACCTCGCCAAGTTCAAAGGGGCCTGGTGTGCAGAAATTCGCAGCTACATGTGGCTCAGACTGGAGGATCCGGGTCACTCGAGAGCCTCGAAGATCATTGCTGTGGCTTCCCTCAGCGTGGTGTTGACCTCCATCGTTGCCATGTGTGTTCACAGCATGCCAGAGTTTCAGCGTGTGGATGACAGTGACAGGCCCATCGAGGACCCCGTGCTCACTAGACTGGAGGCGGTTTGCATCGTCTGCTTCTCCGCAGAGTTCATAATCAGGTTAATTGTCGCGCCCTCCCGACGGAAGTTTCTCGGAAACCCCTTGAACATAATCGACGCCGCTTCGATTTTGCCGTTTTATGCCACTTTAGCTCTGGAGACCGCCGACGAGGATAGCGTAGAGGAGAACGAGGACATAGAAAACGTGGGGAAAGTGGTGCAGGTTCTGCGCCTCATGCGGATTCTCAGAATCCTCAAACTGGCTCGCCACTCCATCGGACTGCGAGCGCTGGGGGCCACCGTCCGCCACAGCTACCAGGAGGTGGGCCTGCTCCTTCTCTTCCTCTCAGTGGGAATCTCCATCTTTTCTGCTCTCATCTACTTCGCAGAGAAGGAAGAGGACACCGATTTGGGGACAATACCTTCAGGTTGGTGGTGGGCCACAATCACCATGACCACAGTCGGCTACGGGGACACCTGCCCCGTGACGGTGGCGGGGAAGATTGTGGCCACCGTGTGTATCATCTGTGGCCTGCTAGTGGTGGCTCTTCCCATCACCATCATCTTTAACAAGTTTTCAAAGTACTATCAAAGAAACAAAGCCATGGAGGGACAGTGCATCACCAAGCCCGAAAGACAAGACCCAGAACTCCCTCATTACAACATCAGGGAACTGTTAACGGGAAGCGTGTACCCCTTTATAGGAAGCATCGCCTTTAGGAACAGTGGGAGCAGCGGAGGGGACGATACGGACGCCTCCAGTCTCCAGGACATCGAGGTGTACGATAATGACGCTTGTGAAAATGGAGCAGCCAAATGAGATTCCTGCCATTTCACCGAGCATCACTCCCTTTATGACTGCGAGTCAGTCTCTGCCTCTCGGGGCAGAGTGCTCCATCACTGACCCTGCCTTCCTGCACTGTCTTCCCCCTGCAATTTGACAGAGAAATATTGTGGCCATGAAGTTTTTTCCCTCCTCTATCTCTCTCTCTTTCTCTCTCTCTCCCGCTCTCTGTCTACAGGGGAATAGCTGTGGCTGAAATATACAGCGTCGCTAAAACCGGGAAATCTAAAGGGAATTATCTGAACCTTGCTCAGAGGTTTGAAAGCCCATTTTCTGCTTGAGAAAACTGCAATGATGCATGTAGGAGGCCATAATGTTAATGTTTTTCAAAGTAATGTCCTTTATTGATTTCCTGCTTGCTGAAAAGTTCAGACAGAGAGTTTTCCAAATGCAAAAGTCTAGGATGACAACAGCACAGTTTGATGTTTAAAAATGGCGTTATAGATCTCAACGTTGGCTGCATGACCAAAAATAAGTGCATTTTGAAAGAGAGTAATAAAAATAGTAGAATTAGGCACAAAAATTGATGAAGAGAGGTGTCACATTCCTCTCAGAGCACCGTGGAAGTCGCTGATGTGCCGGGTTTTTATTTCGTTTTTGTTCGTTTTGGACAGTTCTGGCATCTCGGTGAAAGGGGAACTCATGTGGACATGAAATAAAACTCACAAGACAGGTGCTGCTCATTTGTGCCTGTTCAGATAAGCTTAAGATTCAGGCGTTTGAATTTATTTCTTCTCGCGAGTTTAAACTCACATCAGGTAATCAATGTGTCGAATTTAATTTTTGAGGAGTGCAACACTTTGAAAATGCAAAGAAACCTTCTTTTTTGTGGTATTCTTCAGCCTTATCTCTCCCTGAATGTATTGATCTCCTGTCCCCTGTTATAATTTCTGCTTGGATGGACGCTGCCCTACCAAACTTTTCTCTGCAGGCGTCTAAAGGTGCTCATGCAGCTGAACGGAAACAATTCAAACATGAATTTGATGGCGGTTGAGGAAAAAACATTTAAAAGCACCTTAAAAGGCTGCACGAGAAGCCGGTTTCTGTTCAAACACACAGACTAACTGAGCCTTAACCTGAACAGATAAACGCCATTACCGTCTGATTATTCCTTAGAAGTAACAAATGAGTTTCGATCACTTGGTTTCGTGTATCAGGTGTGCTCAGTAACCAGATTAGCATATTGCTTATTCCACACTTTGGGTTTATTGCCTTTGTCAGTTGCATTTTATTGTAATGACAGAACTGGCGCAGACACCTACTGATTATCAATAAATTTACATGCACAAGTGAAGAGCACAGTTGATGGCATACAGTACGTGACAGTGATTTTGCAGGCATGCATGCAGTGTGCATCCTTCCATAGGCACGACTGTCCGTATTTGTCAGGATATCTTTCTAAAAAACAAACAAAAAAAACCATGTGAGGAGTCACCACATGAATAAAGGGAAATATTGGACGATTTCTGCTCTCCGTTCAATTCTTGTTTGAACTGCTCACACCTCATGCCCTTCACTGAGAGGTCACAGTTAAACATCATTCACGTTAAAGCCCCGAAGCATCCGCTGCAACAAAATGAAAGGAAGTAACGATCTCATACATTTGAGGCACTGTTAGAATAATGGTTACAATAAAATGGTAGTGCTGCTTTTCTGAAATGTAGATTGCTGTGAATATTGCGCAGTGATAATAATAAGGCACAACACCTCTCAACAGAGTAAAATACTAAAGTCGAGGTTCCGTTATTCGGCCACGATACAATTTCTTATGACTTCTTGATGCAGACAAAAATAAACATCAAAAGAACACTAAAAGTTTTTGTAAAAAAGACTTTTTATACGACTGAAAAACCTGTACACACTCATATATGTCTTTACACTTAGTCGGTGAGGACAATATTTAATTGAAAACCAAATCTGTAATCTTTATTCAATGTATGTGTGAGCATGTATATCTCTGTATGTGTTAAGAAATCTGCCCCAGGACATTCAGCTGACAATGCAACACAGTTGGCAACAGATAACTGCACAGATATCTGTTCCTCACCATTACTCACAGCCCTGTGGCTTCTTGGGCTTTGGTTTTGAAGAGGGAAGTGGATTTCAATATCTTGTATAGGCTTCCTATATAGCCCATTTCCCATAGCAGGTGGTGTCTCTTATCTATTTATTAAGTTTGCACTGTAGCATGACAACAGTTGCACCTAGGTTCAAATGTTTAGTTGATGTTGCTCTTAGGTTGCACATATTTCTGCAAGCATTTCCATTTCCAGTCCTCAAATAATTCAAATATTACAGTTTTTTATTTTAGTGTAAATGCCTGGATGCCAGAAAGTTTCACAAGAAAGAACCGGCTGCCAGAAGCCAAACAGTTTATTATTCAGCACCTGTCTCATAACTGTTTGCAGATGCTTCCATTTTTTTATGCAGACCTTTATACTTCTGTATTACTATTTGGACTCCTTCCCTCAAAGGTCAACACAGTAAAGATGAACAGTTATAGAGACAGAGTGCAGTGGAGTCATGGCTTCTACTGGAGGAGAAAATTGCATGTGCTGGTAAAAATGATGGATACCTCAAAACTTCTGTGTGGTGAGATCAACTGGAATTAATTGTTTATAAGCTGAAAAATGAAGCCTTTCATGAGGTGACATCGGGTGATTTTCAGGTGGGATTCAGAGGGATTCTGATCTACTGGATTGCTACTGATTGTGTAGCAGAAAGCATTTTATCCTCAATAAGCCAAAAATGAAAATTTGTTAAAAGTGCCTTAGTTAACTACAGTAGTAATAATAGGTTTCATATATATAGTTGGATGTCAGCTAACTATATATGAAGGGTGTAAACAGAGTGGCAGCAATGTGGTGATGAGAAATTTCAATGAAATTCAGCAACTTATAGCAATGACAGACAAAACAACTGACCGACAGACTTAGTATAAGGTGGATATATCAGCCATCGGTTAGTGCAGACCTGTCATGAAGCCCTGACCTGAGTGCTTTAGATGTTTTGAAACCAAAGGATGGATTAATGAGCGCTAACCCTGGCTATTCCTCCTTTCTGACTCGTCATGATTTACAAAATAAACATCATGGTTTATTCAGTATGACCTGAAGGTAGCGACTGAGCCTGTAAAGTTATATCACAGAGCAAGAGAGCTGCAGACGTCTATACAAGTGGAAGTCTTTCTGCAATCAGAGCAGTTGAACTCTTCTGGCCATTGTTAGGTGGTTGCTCAGCAACGTGATGATAATACGTCGTGCATATTTCAAATTTTGTGGATATAAATTAGATGTTAGTGTTATGACTATAGTACATGCTTAGAAGCTACAAATGGGTCATTTTAGCCTGTTGGTTGGTGGTCGTTTATGCTGCCTATACTGTGAGGTGAGCTGGTGAAACTACTAGCACTGGGAGTAAGGAGAACCATTGATTGACATATGATGGCGTGCTGAACATTAGAGTTGAAGTTGATGTTCATTAGTGGCTTTATGATATATGATGATGAGCACTTTAAAAATGGACAGAGCTATAGGCTGACAACGCAAAACATATTTTTTAGCCTGTTAAAAGGTTTGTTTGGGGAGGGGGGGGGGGGGGGGGGGTTTGGTTAGAATATGAGCCCTCATTTCTGAAACTTGCGGCTCTCACTCTGTCTGTTTTGTTAGTTAATCTTCGGCTGTGATTCGATCCCTGCGTGCTCTAGTCGGTGTGCCAAAGTATTCTTGGGCAAGATACTGAACCCAATGCTTTCATTACATTGCGTGAATGCGTGTGAATGTTAGATAGAAAGCACTTAGGCATAGGGGGAAAGTGCTTGTATGAATATGTGTGTGTGTAAGTGGGAGAATAAGACATGTTGCATAGAGTCCTTTAAGTGATCAAGCAGGGTACAAAAAACTACAGAAGAAGCAGTCCATTTACCATTTACAGGAACAATCTATGGTGATCTGTTTTTCTCATGGAATCAAATAAATCAATACAACTTTATTTTGGTATTTAAATATGCCTACAGCTCATTTATTTTAAACCGCCTCGGCAGTTTTTTTTATAACTGGCACTGCATCCAGCCATTAAGTAAACCTTGAATAGATGTAACTGTGTTACTTTCACTCCAGCAGAACTCTCTAACAGGTACTGAAATTCTCCACTGCATGTAAATGCATTTACTACAGGAACATGTCATTTTGCAGGACAGGGTGACGTTGGGCAGGGTGTTGCTGGTGTAAATAATAAATGCACTTACCTGTTAAGGTCACATCAAATGTGTCAGCAGAAATGTCACAGTGAGTTTCAGGGAGTTCCAGACTTTCCCGTTAGGCTTTTCTTTTTTAATTTTAAATGAAACAACCACCTTCATTACATTAAGGCTGAAGTGAAACTGCTTACTACAATACTTCTGTTGGGCCAAAGAAAATCTTAATCCGAGTTAATGTAGAGTATTAAAGTACTGGGATAAAAGGTGTCACTGGACAATTGAACTCCTGTCAGAAACTCTGTGACTACTTTCATTAGCTGAAAAATAAAAGCAAATCAATAAAATGTATTTAAGGAGCTTCCCCCCCTCCTCTGGATTTATGTCCATAATCGCCAGTCAGCACTTTGATGTTAATTTGAAGTGAGTTGTTTGTGCGCAGTAGAGACAGTGATGTCTTTCAGCTGGCAGTGCTGTCAGGAGGGGATACTTCAGCAGCGTCTGGTGGACATTAATGTTAAACAAAAGTCACCGAAAAGAATGATGGAGGGCGGAAAGAAGCATTGCAGGCTTTCACACTTATCCATCTGTGTGGCTTCAGTGTGTTTTGATATTTCAAAGAGAAAAACAGAAATCTACACTTGAAATATCTGACATTTGTTTTTAGGTATGAGTTTAAATCTGTATATTTAAAAACCCTCTGGGTCTATAACAGCATCTGTCAGTGAACCTCTCACATGAGGAAAAGGTCACTGCATGCAGTGATGAATGTGCAAGAGGCAAAGGGGACTTTTTATGTGGTGTGAAATTCTGCTGAGGCATGCTGCACCAGCCCACCATGCATTAAAGTTAGCCTAGTATAGAAGTGTTATAATATATATAACAGACGTGCATGTGGGCTCCAAATGAAAAAGAAAGTCCAGATTTGTAGATCCTAACATGTTCACAGGTGATGTCCTTAAAAAATTAAGTACATCCTGTAATTCAGTAGTTCATAGAACCACCTTTAACAGGAATAACTTGAAGTAATCATTTTCTGTATGATAATAACAAAACACGAGCTGCTTATTTGGCTGATATAAGTCCCAAAATACAAATACAAAACAGAGACAAAGAGATCCCCGAAATACAGAGTAACAAAATCCAGGTGGCTCATGAAACACACGAGGAAACAGTACAATGCAATAAAGAAAACAAATAAAAACTGAAGTTTTAAGAAACACAGAGGGCAATCAGAGAGGAGTGGAAACACCTAGATAACAGAAAACAGCTAAAACTAATCGAAAACAGTGAGCTAGGGGAAGTAAAACTACATGACACAGTGACTGTCAAAATAAAACGGGAAGAGACGAATACTTAAAATTTTGTGGAAGACACTGGGACGACTATTAAAGTACAAGGGATCAAAAATATAAACAATATCAAACACTAACGGAAACCAGGTAAAAAAACAAAACAAACCATAGTAATAGGTGCCAGCTGAACTACCTCCAGATCAACACTAATAAAACCA